TGTCTGGCTGCGGCAGCTCCTCTGCTCTCCTGAAGAGCTTTAATATTAATGATCCCCTCACATGGGACGTGTCCCTGCCCGCGCGGGGCTTGGATCTAGATGATCTTGAAGGTCCTTTCCAACCCAAACCATCTGGGATTCCCTGATCAGAAGTGTGACCTGCTTGGGTTATCTTCCTGGGAAGGGATGCCCGGCTGCTGGAATTCCTTCAGGAAGTGTTGATGCCAAACAATCATCTGGGGAGGGAGAGGTGAAACGTGAGGCTTTTCACACAAATGAGCCCTGTTATTATTTGATGACTTCTGGTAGAGTTCCCAGTGTGTTCTTTAAGCCAGCAGTGTCCTTGCCTGCTCCTTCTCTTCAGATGTTGATGCCCAAGAAGAACCGAATTGCAATTTACGAGCTCCTTTTTAAGGAGGGGGTGATGGTGGCCAAGAAGGATGTCCACATGCCAAAGCACCCTGAGCTGGTCGACAAGAACGTGCCCAACCTCCACGTCATGAAAGCCATGCAGGTCAGGAGGCATGGGCTGGGATCCTGGGGGGAAGCTGGGATCCTGGTGGGGATGCTGGGGTCCTGGGGGGATGCTGGGATCTTGTTGGGAAGGTGGGATCCTGGTGGGGATGCTGGGATCTTGTTGGGAAGGTGAGATCCTGGTGGGGATACTGGGATCTTGTTGGGAAGGTGAGATCCTGGTGGGGATGCTGGGATCCTGGGGGGAAGCTGGGATCAGGCCATGGGATCCAGGCAGGGGGAAATGATTATGATCTTGAAGGTCCCTGCCAACCATAGCTATGCTATGATTCTATGAGGGGTGGAAGGATAAAGTAAGTGCAAGTGCAATCATTACCTCAGCAGAACCAAAGGAAAGTGAATAGATTTTTAGAATAAAGCTTTTAAATAATAATGCTGTGAGTTACTGATGTGAAAACAGAACAGATCTCAGGGTGGGTGTGGGATGAAATAGCAATGAGTGTGTCCTGAAGGGGCTGAGAGTTAATTTTTTGTAAACCTTGTCACCTATATACATTATTTTAATAGGTAGAGGAGGGTCACTGGTTTGGTTCTGAAAGGGAAAGCTGGGAGGGACTTGGGACAAGGGCAGGGAGTGAGAGGACAAGGGAGTGGATTAAAAGTGGAAGAGGGAGATTGAGGTTGGACATGAGGAGGGAATTCTTTGCTGTGAGGGTGGTGAGAGCCTGGCCCAGGTTGCCCAGGGAAGCTGTGGCTGCCCCATCCCTGGCAGTGTTGAAGGGCAGGTTGGATGGGGCTTGGAGCAGCCTGGGCTGGTGGGAGGTGTCCCTGCCCATGCTGGGTGTTGGAACTGGATGATCTTTAGGGTTCCTTTCAACCCAAACCAGTCTGAGATTGTGTGATAAGGATCATCCATGAAGTAACAGAGAATTCTCCCTCTAGTCCCTGAAATCCCGTGGTTATGTGAAGGAGCAGTTTGCCTGGAGACATTTCTATTGGTACCTGACCAACGAGGGCATCCAATACCTGCGGGACTATCTGCACCTGCCCCCTGAGATTGTCCCCGCCACCCTGCGCCGCAGCCGCCCCGAGACCGGCCGCCCACGGCCCAAAGGTGAGCCCAGCCTGGGCTGTGGGGAGCAGCTTCAGCTTCTGGGGGTGGTGGATCCTCAGCTTCCAGCTCAGGCAGCTGGAAAGGAGCTTCAGCTTTTGGAGGTGGTGGATCTTCAGCTTCCAGCTCAGGCAGCTGGAGAGGAGCTTCAGCCTCTGGGGGTGGTGGATCCTCAGCTTCCTCTCAGGCAGCTGGAGAGGAGCTTCTGGGGGTGTTGGATCCTCAGCTTCCAGCCCAGACTGGTTGGAGCTGCTGGGATTCTGGGATGTATAAACCTTAATAGGTGGAGGAGACACGCGTAGGTTTTATGGCTTTTGTGTTTGGGGCTGGGCTAATTGGTCACTGGGCTAGTGAAAGGTCGGAGAGGGCTAAAGAAAGCCTTGAGGCTTACTGGGGGAAATGGATCTACTGTGCTGTAGAACTGTGGCTGAAATGTTATTCCCAGCAAGAATAGCTTCTCCACTTGCAAATAACAGGATTAATAGCCAAGTTTGGGTTGCATACCTGCCTGTTCAGTCCACACGAGGCAGAAGCTGCACTTCTTCCTTGTGGATGCTCAGAGTGTGGGACTTTGTCTTCTCTGATGACAAAGTGACTGGAATGATTGAGAGTAGGAGCCTGAAACCACACGCTGTGGGGTCAGGGACTGTTTGGTGTCCAGACATGGCTGAGGACTGAAATGGGGGTGTCTGTGGCTGCCAGGCCTCTTCCAAAACTGTTGGTGTCTTCTGGGAAGAGTCTGCAGCAATCCCCACAGCTCAGTGTGTGCACAGCTGATCTGGTCCTGCAGATCTGGAAATTCTTGGTTTGGCTGAGTTATCTTCAGAAGAGTTACCTGGAAGGCTGTGGAGTTCAAAGTGAAGTGGCCTTGGCACTATAGGGAACAAACTTGAACTGGGATATGGGAAATGGGCACAGGATTCCATGGCTTAACACCAGAGCTGAGCCTTAGTGCTGGATGTGCCTCATCTGTGATACCTGGGGTGAAATGAGTTCACTGATTCTGTGAAGTTGAGCACCCCCAGCTCTGGCTTTATCAAATCCACTCAAGGAGCTGTTGGGTCAGTCAGGTTGTTAAAGCTGCCCTCACCCATTTCAAGATTTACACCAAATACATGTGGTGTGTTGGGAGTTGTGATCTTTCTTTTATTATTTCTTGGTGGGTTTTTCATACCCCAGAGTGAAGGAGATGCCAGTTGTGCAGCCAGATGTGCTGCTGATGCTGAATTCTCAGTCTGCAGCTGCCTCTGCAGGGGCACCTCCCCACAAACGTGCTGTAGATTCATGGCTGGGATTACTCCCAGCAAGTGTTCCGCTCCACTTGCAAATAGCAATATTAAATGGCAAAGTTTGGTTTCCAGACCTGTATATTTAGTTCACACGAGGCAGACTCTACACTTTTTCCTTGTGGATCCCTGATATTTGCCTGTGAATGGTTTGTGAGCTGCTTTGACCCCTTTTGTGGTGAGCAGAGCCACGTTGTAGTGCAGAATAAGTAAGCTGGAGGTGGCTGTGCTGAAGCCACCATGACCCTCAGTTTAGTTTGGAAAAGGTTATTGTGTTCCAGGCTAATAATTCAGAGTAGGAAGAATGATGATGTTGCCCCTGAGCATTTGGAAATGCTCTGGAGAATCCTTTCTCCTGGGTTTTCTTGGTCTCTTCTCCAGTAGCAGAGAAGCAGCACACGGGGTGTAAAATTGCTCAGATGACCTTTGGGGAGATCAAAACTTCTGGAACCTTAGAGAAAGGAGAGGGAAAAATCACTGCAGCCCTGGTTGGCAGAACAGCATTGCCAGGTCTCTAGGGACAAGAAAGGTTTTTTCTCCCTCTAGGCAGAAGATGGTGGATCTCTCCATCTGGTGTGTAGCTGCCTCTTGTCTTTACCAAGAATAAAGTTGGAGGGTGTCATCCTGCCCTTAAAGCAGGACCCTGTGACAGGGAGTGCTGCATGACAAAGCTCTTTTGGTACAGAAGTAGCAGTCTGCTCTTCTGCTGCTGAGCTGTTTTGTGTCCTGTCCTCAAGTCCTGGAGACAGAGGCTGTGGGCACAGGGTGCTGAGGAGTTCACCTGCACCTCCTGCCATTGGCTTTTTAGCTTGACAAACTCGTGGGACCATCTACTTCAAAGGGAAGAATTGCATTGCAGCTGGGAAGGTGATGGTGTCTTTGATCTCTGAGCAGCTCTGGATGTGACCACAGTTGCTCTGCAGATGTTGTGCTTCTCCATGGAGCTGAGGAAACTGCCTGTCCAATGGGAAGATGGGGCTCACAGCTCCGGGCTGAGATTTGCTCAGGGTTTTTGTGGTGAGGAAGCTTCACTTGAGCCTTCTTCAGTGTTGGTCACCTTGTTCAGTTTGCACCTTGGCAGGGGTGGCTGGTGGGGCAGCACCAGGGGCTTGTACTGTTCCTCTGTGGAGCTGCAGAGGAAGTGCAGGTGCTGCAGGACCCAAGCTCACAGGTCTTGCTTGATCTCCTGGGATTTTGGGGCCTTTTGTATTTCCACATGGTGCTCCTGACTTTCTCAAATAAGGCTTGGTCCAAAAGCCAGAGGAGTTAAGTCTAAAGCAGATTTTAGGCTGTTATGTGTTTGATATTTGCAATTCATGTCTCTGATACAGATGGAACTGAATTGTTGGGGATTAAGAATGGTCAGATGTGAAGTGTAAAAATAAAACCCCATTGGCCAGAGCTTTGCTGTCATGGTTGAACCTGTTAGGAAGGAAGGATGTAGAAGCACTTGCAGGGTTGTGTTTCTCTTTGTAATAAAATAATCTATTCTATAATAATTGTATAAAAAACCCCTGAGTGCCCACAGTGTCAATCCAGCCTGTAGAAGTGCGTGAATCCTGTTTCTTGCAGATTGAGGCTGGTCCTGCTCTGTGGGAGCAGATTTCATCTCTGAAGCTCAGGGTGAAGCCACAAGAGCTGGGCAGATGCTGACAGTCCCACCACAGCTGTTTCCTTCCTGCAAGTGTTCTGTTTGATATTAATCTGATGCTACGTAGATAATCTGCACTTAGTTTTATTAATCTATTCCACTGGGGAGGATTTGTGACACTGATAGTGTGTCTGTGTTTTAGGATGGGATCAGAATGTCATGGAATTGGTGACTTGGCTATGAACAAGCTTGTTAGACATGACAGATTCCTTCTATTTTTGATATTTATTCTTATAATTAATTGGTTTAGCCTTCAAACAAGAGAGAGGAGTCTGTTGAGATGATGCTGTGAGTCCATTTTTCACATGATTTAACTGCAGCCCAAACAAGCTGATGTGCTTGGACTGATTCACCCTTCAAGCAACGTTTTCCTTGTTCATCACTGGTTTTGTTTGGGTTTATATACACTGAGCTGTCTGAGGTGCAGCTCTGCTGATCACTCTGGTGCTTCACTGGGGTTTCTTTTCCTCCTGGAGACACAGGGTGCACCTGTGCCATGAGGTGTGTGTCCCCTGGGTGAGCAGTGTTCCTGATGTGGCTCTTCTGACCCACAGGTCTGGAAGGGGAACGCCCCGCACGCCTGACTCGGGGAGAGGCTGACAGGGACACCTACAGACGCAGTGCTGTGCCACGTGAGTGTCCCTCCTCGAGCTGGGTGACCTTGCTCCTTGTGCAGCTTATCTCTTTGGGAGAATTGTCTTCAGAGTTGGCCTCCTGTCAAGAAGGGGAAAATCAGATTCTTGGCGGAGCTCTGGCATTTACACGGCAGAGTTCGTGTCTGCTGGTGGATGATTCTTTTATTGAATTTTTGTCAAGCTGGACTGTGGGATTTTCTCTGGGGTGGGTTCAGTAGCTTTCTAACAGTCTCATAGAATCATGGAATGGTTTGGGTTGGAAGGAACCTTCAAGATCATCTAGATCCAACCCCCTGCATGGGCAGGGACACCTCCCACCAGCCCAAGTTGCTCCAAGCCCCATCCAACCTGCCCTTCAACACTGCCAGGGATGGGGCAGCCACAGCTTCCCTGGGCAACCTGTTCCAGGGTCTCACCAGCCTCACAGGAAAGAATTTCATCCTCACGTCTCGCGTAAATCTCTGCCAGTTTTAATCCATTCCCCCTTGTCCTCTCACTGCAAGCCCGTGTCCAAAGTCCCTCCCTTCTTGGAGCCCCTTCAGGCACTGGAAGCTGCTCTAAGGTCTCCCTGGAGCCTTCTCTTTTCCAGGCTAAACACCCCCAACTCTCAGCCTGAGTAAGAGCCATTTTTCTTTGCTGTATTTCACCTCATTTTTAGTCCTCTTTGATTGTAAACCTTAGATTCCAAGCAGGAGCAGGAGCACTGTACTTAGGGAGTGTTTTCCTTGGTGCCTAACTCATCCATCTCTTTCTTCAGCTGGTGCTGACAAGAAGGCCGAGGCTGGTGCTGGAGCAGCCACTGAATTCCAATTTGTGAGTATTTGCATTTGAAATTTGCTTCCCTTTATTGAAGCTTTGATTAGGAGAAACTGGATAGGTCTTGTCTGCATGCTGGGCAGTGTGGTGCCCCTCAGGTATGCCAGCTGGGGTGAGGTATTTGGCTCTGGTTGTGTATGAGAGGCTGGCATCCTTTCTGTCCAGCTCTTCTGCTGCATTCCTGCCAGGGAGACTCAAGTTGGCCTCACTGCTGTGACAGGAAGGCAGTGACATGTTTGAGAAGGAGGCTGAGCTCTCTGGAGGAAACACATGGTTTTATACCTCAGAAGTAGAAGAGTTTTAGACCTGCTTCACAGGGCTGGCTGGGATGGGTTTGTTTTGTTGTTACCATCACTCATCTGGTTGACCTGTGTCAGGTCTCAGACAGCTCAGAGTTGGGCTGTGCTTGGGAGCAGGGGATGTTTGTCAGAGTAAAGCAAAGCTGAGGAAAGACAGTTCGTTTTTCTGTGGTGTTGGTGGTTCCTGCTGCTGTGTATTTGCTGCTGTCACTTGCTGAATATGGTGACTTCTAATGCTCTTCATTTTCTGTTGCAGAGAGGTGGATTTGGTCGTGGACGTGGTCAGCCTCCTCAGTAGAACTTCCTGCTTATGTTTTGTGTATAATAAAATAGGTGAAAATGCCACCTGGGTTGCATGGCTGTGTCTTATTAACGTGCATAAATGGGGAGCAGGGAGGTGACTCAGATCTTTGGTGTGTGTGACAACAGCAGTGGAGGAACTTTTGATTACAAAGCAGGTTATAGGAAGGAACTTTGTAGGTTTGGTAATTCCTGACATAGGGTGTAGAGGTGATTCTTAGGGAGGAATGAGGAATGTTGCTTGATGGCACCATAGAAGCTCTGCAGGCAGTTTTCCTGCTCTGCCCAGGAAGACACTCCTATCTAGTCATTCCCAGGAAAGCTAGGCTGAGGGACGATCCTATTTTGCAGGCAGGGAATTCAGGAAGTTGAGCTGTGTTGGCCTGAGACCCTGAGTGAGTGGGACACAAGCAGAGCAGTCAGGTGGGCCTTCCCTTTATCCCAGCCCTGAAATCCCTGCCTTAATGAACCCTGGGTTAGGGAAGATGAGGTGCTCTCTGGAGCTGAGCAGAGCTGGGGTTCCCCTGCACTGTGCAGCCTGCCAGTAGATGTCACCAGCCAGCTAATAACAGGATGATGCTAACTGGGAATGGGTTTCTGGGGCCTGCCCAAGGAATAGGATCTGGTTCAGGGCAGTTTGAACAGCACAGAAGTGCTAGAAACAAACCCAGGGAGAAAAGAGTTAATTCCAGTCCTGGAATGGTGGGCGTGAGACCCTTTTTCTGTATTGAATTTTGAGGGACCTGGCTCTGGAGGTTTCACACCTACTTCAAATCTGTTCCAAATCTTTGCTTCAGCTGATCCCTCTGCCTCCGTGGAAGTTTGTGGGTTACAGTTGAGCTAAACCTAATCCACACTAACCTGCTCAATCCCAGGTGACTGGATTTAGCCAAGATGCACTTCATGGCCTTGTTCTTAATGCAAATATGCATTAAAGCAGCTCTTTTTTTTTAACTCTGCTAGTGATATTCTTAAAGTTCTGGGTTGTCTGCATCTACTGGGGCTTTTTATTCAAGTTTCTGCTTAATTTATCCTGCAGCCTGGAGGCAACGTTTGTACTTGCTCTGCTGTGCATTTATAGTTGTGATTGTGTTTGTGAAGCCCTGTGTGCTCAGTAAAATGTTTTGCTTCCTGTGAAATTCAGCAGCTATTTAAAAAAATCACCTGGAGTACTTCAGGGTGTGGGGAGGGTGTGAAGTGCTGAACATTTTCTTCTAAAAGAATGTTTGACTTATTAAAGGGAAGATCCAAAGGAGTAAGTAAAAACTGCTTTTGCTTTGGGGTGAAGGACACCAGTCTAAATAGACTCCTCCACCAGGGAAGGATGACTCCCCACATTTTTAATCTTGACATGCTCTCCTGACCCACCAGTGGGTCCAGCCTGGGATGGAGCTTGTTGTGGAGAACAGATCCTGTCCTCATCCTCTCACAGCTTTCAAGCATTCAGGGATGATGGGATGGGGTTCCAGAGTCATGGCTGTTGACTCTCCTTTCTAAATGGTGCCTCCCCAGATGTTTTTGTGGGATTCACACTGGGAAAAGAGCTTTTTATTCCATGTCCAAAGACGCTCAAGGCTGCTTTGCTCACCTTCTCGTTTTGACTGTCTCCTGTTGAGTGAAGACCAGGCTGCTGAAGCCAAATCAACGTTGGGCAAAGACCCCTCAGAGCAGGACTTGACCCTTGGTGGGGGGTTTTCCTCTTGGGGAAGCACCCAGACTGGGGGCTGGGGTTTGCAGCAGCCCCTCTCTACCCGTGCCAAGCAGCCAAGCCCTGCCTGCGGGTGTCGGCAGTGGGATGATGGATCTTGGCCCTTCCTGGGGAGCGATTCTGGGGGTCACAGGTAAAATCCTGCCCTGGGGCTGAGGCCGAAAAATGCCCCCAAACGGGGGGCAACAAACGCTCCAGGCGTGTGCAAAACG